TTATATAAATAAATATTTACAAGAAGTAATAACAATTTACTTTTTGCTCTTAGAATATGATTTATAAGTATAATAATCTATCCGGAATCCGAAAGTACTCGACTGTGACGTTCCTCCTTTAACAGTTAAGACAGATTAAGTTACAAATGGTCCCAACTATTTTTTTTATACCTACTTTTACCGTGATTGGGAGGGCAAAATGTGTTCACATGCAGTTTCTGCCATTCGGTTTTCGGTTCTGCCAACAATAAGACGAGTTGGAGGGAAAACGAGCCTGCCCCGATATCGAGCTGCTTGAAAACAAACTCTCCTCCTGTTCACCTGGAACGGTGGCGTCAGCAACCCCGATGGCAACGCGCACCCACGCGCATGCGACTGTCTCAATCGGGGGTTGAGAATCAGGCGACGAGGGAGCAGCAGAAAGGGAGGAGAGAGAGAGAGAGAGAGAGAGATCGAACGCCGACAGCGTTTCTTTCTCACAGTTTCCTCCCGTTGTTCGCGCGTGCATCGCAACTATTATACGTACATACTTGCTCATTTTTCATACTCGCTGTGCAACTCTCAGTGGACACGAAGGCAAAGAAACGGGACTCGAAAGCTCCGCAATAATTTTATGATCAACGTCTATGGTAATTTTGGTGTCGTGGAATGTGAGGACAGCGGCATAATCATCAAGGGCGTCGTGAGAACTGAGAACTCGGTTCGATCGCTGAGAAATAGCTGCCATTTACTGCTGAAGGGACAAGTAAGTAAGGGGAAAAGTTTAATAAAATTCGTTCAGAATGATTGTATACGTGTGGACTGTGGTAGCTACGGGATCTGCTCAGTATGCGACAAGTATGCGACAATATGGGGGAGAAAAGACGCGTAGCGTCAGGCAAAGAAGCCGAAAGACGTGTTTCTCGTCATCTAGTCCGAGAAACAACCCTGGAATAATTTTGTACGAGGTTTTTATAAATCGGATTTTGTCGATTGGAAACGACGTATGGGAAATATGAGCGAGTTGTTAATTGCATATCTCATTGAAGAAGAGAGCGAGATATGTCGTAGCAACGTAGATAATTTAGATAATTTTGATAATTTGGAACGTAATTTATACTTCGCTACGCTGTGACACGAATCACACGCAATCCATTTACCTCCGTAACTTTCCATAACTTTTAGTTTTCGAGGAGATTGAAAGATTTGAAAAAGTAGTACAAATTTTGCAACTTTACTTTACAATTTCTTGCTATTTTAATCGTAAACTTTTTAAAGGGAGTTTAACAAACGAAAATTCAACTTGCAGAGGTTTTGTGCGACAGTTATATACAGGTTGATTCACAAATATGCGCTCATACTTGATGAATCTATCTTCAATGAAAAATTGAAATGACGTGTAAAAAATGTCACACGAAAACCATGTAACTTACATACCATTTTGAAGAAAATATTGAATATGTTTGCTTTATTCCTCAACACGATGCTACTGCATGCTTCAACATTCAATTCCACGTTACTTACAAACTATTTCTCGAATAGTTTCAAATCTATTCTGAATCTTTTCCTGTAGATCGTGCACATTATTCCAATTGATTTAGAATAGATTTTAAATTGTATCAAAAATAAACGTTTCGTTTAATTTACATTAGACAATGTTTAGACGCATTACGAGGTGCAATAGCAGGTAATAAGGCACGATTGAACATTTTCTTCAATCATCTGCAACTCGAAAATTAAATTATTAAATTAATAATTAATAATGCTGTGTCAATGATACAGTACAGTAATAATTAAATTGTTCATCAATTATAAGCACAATATTTTAAATATTATATATTTTTAATTCCATATTATACTCGAAATGTTTATAGTGCTACAGATTCAGGTTTACTATATTCGTTCACTATATTTTCTATAGCATATAACAAGAAAACACCAAACGACGAACGAATTTATTATACAATTTATTATAGCTTTCAACTTGTGGAAAGAAAATAAATTTTTGGGACTCGAATCTCCAGAATGGACGTTATTATATGTAATATTTCTTTCTTTTTTATTTTTAATTTGCAATGAATGGCCTATAAATGGCCCTGAAGATCAAAATGCATGCATTATCATAGATTATAAATTTTTATAGATTGACGAATGCAGAGTGAATGAGTCTCCTATAGTCTTACAGAATGATTAGACGCGTTGATACATTGTATAGATAGATTGCAAATCCGTGGAAGTAACAGCGAGATAAAACTTTACTCACGGTAGAAACAAATTTTGATTTGTAGAGATCTTCTTTTGAATTCGAATTGTAGAAATAAAACATAATTGATACGAGTTGTAGAGTTGTAGAGATTTTTACAGAAAAGCGAAAGGGAATGAAAAAGTTTATAGCAGTTTTCCTCCGAGGTTTCCGAGTTACAAAGATACGATTGTATTTTAATTGAGTGTTTTTGATAGTCTTCGCAAGAAAAAAATCTGCTCTGTCGCTCTGTCCAATAGTTGGATTTTCTTCCAGATGATATCTAATTTTTACGATAAATTTGAAAAATCTATGTGCCTTTCGTTTTTGTCATTTTTAGTTTGAATATCTTTTAAACAAATTCAAATACTTATGATACTTGTAATATAAAAATACACGTCATTATATTTGAGAGGATATGTAAAATCATTTTTTGTAAAGGAAATTTAAATAACGTTTACAATTAATACATGAAAAATATTCAAAGTTTGCATTTTTTTCAAAATAATGATAATGGACTATCAGACGTTAAATATTGAAACGGTTATTATTATAATTTCAATCAGTAAAGAAAAATCAACGTACATTACGTATAATAAACATAGTTCATTTCAAAACTTGAAGATTTTACTTTTAAAATGCATCGTTCACTTTGTATTATATTAAAGTATTTTTACATCGCGCAAAGCACATAAAGTTACTTTTCTTCTTGAAAATACTATAAATTGTCGCATGGTATGTAAAAATATTGAGAAATTCTTTTCGTGCCTTTATCTACAATGGATTTGAAAATTGAAGCCCCCCCTCTGTACAACGATCCTCGAAAACTTGATGTATAATTCTTTTTCGCCAATTTATCAAACTTTGAATATATTAGATTTAGAAAATTCAAAAAATCCTGATGTTCAGGCTATCACACCTGATTCACCCATATTCACTCATATTTAAAATTTAATAAATTGACGAAAGAAAACGTTACAGCGAGTTTTAGAAAGTTATTGTAAAGAGGGATCTTCAATCTTCAAATTCATAGTAGATTCAGTTTACGAAAAGAATTTTTCAATGTTTCTATACAATGATACCATGGCAATTTATAACATGTTCGAGAAGAGAAATATTCGAGAAATGTATTTTGAAAGTAATTTGAGAGAAATTTTAAAATAAGTCCAAGTTTATTACCGTACGATTTTTTTTTTTTTTACAAAATTATGACAGTTTAAATATTTAATGTTCTAACATTAATAGGTGTTGTTGTACATGTGAACAAAGCAGCAACGGCCAGGAGACGAATTTGAAGCACACACTTTGTGAAAAATAACAGTTGTTATTATATTATAGTCTGACGTTCTTTTTTTTTTATTAAATGCCACTTTTATCTAAATTTAAATACACAGTATTTCTGACTTCTTCTTTCGAAATTCCATCTTTGAAATTTTATTTGGCCATTCGTTTGAAAAGAAGGCAATAACGACGAGACAATGACAAAGTGAAAAGTAAAAAGTTCCGAGTACGTTACGATGTTAATCCAAGAACGAAAAGAAGAAGAAAGGACACTTGACATTCTACGATGAACAACGATGAATATAAAAACGTAGTAAAGTAGTATATCTTCCAGACATATCTATTCATCGTTGTCTATATTCGAGCTACGACTAGTGTTTCGCTGTTCACGAGCTGTCCGCTCTAGCGTGAACACGATACTTTTGCAATAGTTGTAAACAGATCGCAAACAACTCCAGTTCCAGCGAGTGTGTATGTGGAATTCCAGTATAATAGAGAATACAGAAGACAGTCATAAAGATAAGGACACATAATTGGCCGAAAGTCTCGCACAACACGTAAAATGAGATCACGTAGGACAGCGTAGCAGAATTAGTGCAGAGTGAAAGAGAATACTATTCTCATTATACTTGTACGTATACATCCACGCCGTTCTGTCATTTCAGGCTTCTTGTCATTTTCACGTTTCCGTACATACACTTATTGACAAAAGTTACGAAACAACGTAATCGTTTGGTAATTTCGGTATATTCTCCATCTTCCAAGATACATAGGTTGAAACTAAAAATGGCATAATAAGGTGACATTCCATACATCAATAAACAATGAGTTTTTTTTTTCGAACATGCTTGTACAGGGACTACAATTAAATTGAACTGTAGAAACAAGACAAGAGCAGCGTGTTCAAAAGTTAAGAAACATACATTGCTTAAGTTATATAACCATTTTTAATGAAAAATTACGACGATGTGTAGATGTCTGTAATTTTCATAACAGTCTAACAGGATGTTGGATAACTCTTCTGGATCTGAGGACTGCATGGCATCTGTGTGGCATTGATTCAATTAATCAAACACAAAACAGCCGGTATTTCTGACCATATTTTCGTGACATTTTCCCACTAATTCTGCTTTATTGGTGGAAAAAATGACTTCCTAATTGACGTCGAACGTGATCCCACAAATGTTCGAATGGGTTCAAGTCCAGAGATTGCATTATTAACATTTTGTTCTGCAAGAAACGTCTTAACTAAGTTAGAAGAATGTTTGGGGTGACGTTATCGTGTTGGAGTGACCACCCTGATGACATTTTTTCATTGGCAAATGGCAGCATATGATTTTGTAAGATGTCGCGATACACAAATCTATTCATTTATGTTGTTTCTTTTATTTGTATTAATGGACCAGGGCCGTTATGTGAGAAACAACCCAACGCCATTACGTTACTGCCACCAAATTTCATTGTTGGTTTTAAGTATTTAACTTAGGTTAAATGGTGGTCCAGTAGGGCATCGCACATTATTTTTAGAATCGTTTCCTTGTGTTTGTTTACATTGTGGACTCAACTTATTGCGAGAAGTTTGTATGTTTCTTGACTTTTGTCTTATTTCTTCAATTCAAGTATATATATATATATATATTCGAAAAATAACTCATTGTCTATTGATGTATGGAATGTTATCTTATTATGCTATTTTTAGTTTCAACCTATGTATCTTGGAAAATAGAGAATATACCGAAATTACCAAACGATTACGTTGTTTCTGAACTTTTGTAACTTTCAGCAAATGTATGTGTGATATTTAAAAGAAATCGTTAGGAATATCGTAATAAGTTTACAAGAGAAAAGAATTTATTGGCTGTGGCGTTGGGCCAAAGTGGCAAGTGTGTCGTCTGTTATGCGATGGCGCCACGAAGTCTCTCTGGCGTCGTATAGTATGCAATTTGAAACGATTGTCTTCATCGCATTCGAGAGTAGAATTTCTGTCGAAAAGTTATTACGTTTGTGGTGCTTGAGGTCTTAAAGTCTTCGGAGTGATTCGATTAAAAAGAAATTATGGTACATTATTAATGAATTTGGGAAGATACAAAACAACTCTTCTGCAACGCAAAAAAATACAGTTACGATTTGTCGCAAATGCTATTGTTGGATTCCGTGTAATGGAGTCAACACGCTTACAATTTAGAAGAGTTTATTCCCTTACAGTCGTGGTCGTGTATGAAATAGAATGATATAGAATGATT